TAATTCAGTATTTAAAGACGTAAGGAAGCCTAGCAGGCGTCATGTCGATGACGAATAGGAATTAATGTTTCAAACAATGGCTGTTTACTTAAACGATAAAATGCACCACCTTGTGCGCCACGTCTCTAAACTGTAGCAATGGATTTGGATATTTACCGTTGACTGAAGCGATTTCATTAGCATTTCTGTTGCACGTTAATGTTAAGTGCTGTCTTACTGTGAAAACTTTACTGAAAATCAATTTTGAGATAATGGAGTAAACGTAATGCTTTTGTCATTATTATAATGAATGAAAAGTTACCTCTAAACTATCAGAAACAGTTTCAGACGGAACGGTGCATTAGGATAATTGAAAGCCCGTCGTTAATGGAACAACTTTTTCTTCTTCTTCTTTAGTTGAAAGTTTTGACATTGTTGAAAGACGTACTGCAGCCCTTTAAGCAAAGAGTTCTTGCTGTTATGCTGAAATAATTCTCTGCATCAAGCAAATTCTTCTTTGTTACTTCCAAGGGTTATTTAACACAAAAGTTAACAACCACCGCAATACCCCTCGCAATTTTATTACATGACAATATCAAAAGTCTAACAATTTATTAAACAATAATAACAACAAAAAATAGTTATGAAATCTTTAATCAACAGTAATCATCTCGAAACGTGTTTGTTTTCATTCTGTAAAAAGAGTAGGAGAATAGAGGGCGTTATGGATGCTAATAAGAAATAGGCGAAATAGGTTGATAGGACACTTTCTCAGGCATGAAGGGATGATTAGACACATATTGGAAGCAGATATAAGAGTCAAGAGGGGTAGAGGTAGATCTAGATTAGATTACTGTTCACAAATAGTTAATGATGTGGGATGTTTAAGTTTTAGAGAAATGCGAAGGACAGGAGAAAGTGTGGAGGTGCATGTCCAAGTAGTCTTATGATGATGAAGATGATGATGATGACGATGATGATTATTGATAAAGTGTTGTTTTAAATGTTCCCTCAAGTCAATCGTAAAGTGAAAATTGAATTTGTTTTTAAAAGAGGATGCAGTGCGATTAGAGGCTTTCCATGGTAATAGAATTTAAATTCTTGTTTACTCTCTACATTTCAATTTTGTTATTTTCGTATCAAAACAAACCTTGTTGTAAACTTAGCGGATTTTTATGCTTTTCGGATCATTTGAAAACAGAAAACAAAGAAAAATAGGTTGTCAAAATTGAATATTGACAGACATCCATATTTATTCCAGGTTGTAACTCAGGGCAGTTTAGAATATTATTTATCGAAAAATGTGAAATATAATTATACCTTGATACAACTGTCCGTATCAACCTGTAGATTGAATACTTTAAAATGATGATAAAGTACTTACTTACTTAAAATACTAAGCATATAAAAGTATAGTGCTGTGAGTAATAAGAAGGAAGAAGACGTGTGGGATTATACACAATTTGGACAGTGTTATGACTAGCTATTGAAAATAAACGTAAAAATACACTCGCGGGCTCAGTGTTGCAGAAACATAAATGGGAAAAACTTTCGTCAAATTGCTCCGAGCGTGTGCCGCGAGTAAGAGTTATGGCAGACCTCTCCCGTCTCGCGGGGTGCTTATGATCTCACTCAAAAGGGAAAGAAATACGAAGAGTCTGGCGATATTCGAAATTCATCTGCAAACTTGTTTTGATCTTGTGTACGCAAGTGAGCTGCCGACGATAAATTATAAGGAACAAGGTCTAAATGGCAGACGTATTACCATTACAAAAACCACACGAGGGAGTTGGGATGTTTTCTTATAATGGTACTGAACTTGGAAAGATAAACATATTAATATACATATGAAACAGTCCACCGTTGCATGGTTAATGAAATTCACAATGATTATGAAATGATGGAAATGTAAATCATTAAAAAGTGCAAAGAAATTGAATAAATGTAAAACTTGTAGTCTATTTTAATTTGTTAGAATTGTGACCTTGAACAAAACTGCGCGAAGATAGAAAGAATGCACACTAGGCGTGAGCAAGACGGAAATAGTTTGAACAAGCTTGAACGAGCAGAGCTCTCGATGGGCGGTCTTAGAAGATCGGCTAGAAATGTACAGTACTAGACGAAAATGTTTAGCAATTTCTTAAAACAAAAATGTATATAAATTAACAATCCTCCTTTAGAAAAGGGGTAAATTATAC